TCAAGCTCGCATCAGCTGACTCTCAGCTGATCCCCATCAACCTATGGGAATACGACACCTATCTAAGCATTCATATATAAGGTCCCTCAGTATTATCAGCAGTTTTCGCATTGCTCAATAGCTAATTACCCTCCTCCATCCCCAACTCCTCCTCTGATAGTCAGGATTCTGCCTTCTGATTCTCCTTTGAATCAGACTAAATCTAAAATGTGTACATAACATTATTGAACTTTAACGATATCTGCAATACATTTGTTGGTTCTGTTCTGTTTACCCTGGGGGGGTTATCGCTGCTCTCCCTGCTCTCATCCATGCTAGGCTGCATGGATGCGCAGGGAGTTCTTGCCCAGAACAGAACCATACCGCCAATCCAAACTGTATGCTAATTGTCAATCATCTTTGACGATAGTGGTCCTGATAGAAACCTTCTTTTGGCAATCAGGTATTTTTTTACAGCTCAATGTCTCTTACAGTATACAACATAAATAGAGAAGATACATGTTAAATATAGCAGATACAGTGAAATTCAACAATAAACTTTAAGAAAATATTTTTTTCATTATACTGCTGTAAAGAGATCTTACAGTACAGTAGATGAAAAGCACTAGAAAAGAAAAGGTTGAATACCAAAGAATTGAATATGAACACACTTATAGAATATAGAGTAATCTTTCAGTTCTGCAAAAATACTAGGGATGCACCGATATGAAAATTTTGGCCGATACCGATAACCGATGTAAATGTAAGGCTACAAATCAGTTCCACAGTTGCTGTGTATATCATCAGGAACAAATGTATTTTGACCCCGTCCCCTTAATTTTTCTTTTCCTCTCCTCTTCCTCTTTGTCTCCCACAAGTAGGATTCATTTTCCAAAGCACACAATAACTACTTATATCATCCTGAGATTCTGACTGCTGTGTCAATTTTGCTACTTAATGTTTACAGATGGATAAATGTGTGTTATTTGAGTTCATATTGTGATGCTTGAGGTAATTATTGTGTGTTTGTGTTTTCTGAATGAGAACATGGTTAACCTGTGCAAAATTAGGGTGTTTTTGTGTAGCTTTTGCAGAGAACACTGAGCAAATTGGAATGTGTGTGAAAACAGGTGAAATGTGTTAAATATTTGAGAAACGTGTTTTTGTTTCGAAAACTGAATGAATGATTTTGAAAATTGGGCCAAATAAATCAGTTATAGTGTGTTCGCAATCGAGAAAACTGGTAAAACCGGTTATGACTGGTAGAGCCCGACCGATATATCGTTTTGCCGACATTATCGGCCGATATGAGCCTGTCGCCGATATATCGGTATCAGTGAATATGAAACTATTTTTTTACAGAACATATAACACAGATAAAATGCTTGAAATTGTGTAATTACTTAGTTTGTCCAGCAGAGCGCGCTCCATTGTTTGCTACTGGCGACCTGGATGAAACTCTTTAAAGCTTAAGTCTATGGAAAACCATTGAAACTTTGAACGGCCATATCTCCGTAACAAATTTGGGGGATCCCCCGAACGCGAATCGAGTGTACGTCTAGAGGCCCACTTTCGAATGAGACCACCGCCGTGTCGATAGCCCCCGGGGTTCGGGAGTTAGGGGTAGTTAAATTCACGGTCCGGGGCTGAGAATTTCAAGGATATCAATATATCGGCCTTTTTTTACTCCATAATATCGGTATCGGTCACAAAAAAAACCATATCGGTCAGGCTCTAATGACTGGCATTAGGCATACATCTGCATCAGCTTTTAATGCAGGGACCCTAAAAGCATCACCACATGTGTACAGAGGATCCATGCATATTTCATACACATGCATGACCACAAACTGCCTTAATGCAAAACATTTTCATGAAAGACAACTTTGCACTTGAATATTCAATAGTGCATATTACAGCTAGATAAAAGTCTGCTGCACTGACATTAAGAGAAAAAAATCATAATTTTATCTTCCTCCTTTTGTTTCCATTAATATTGTCAAAAAATGTCATTTGTACTTTATATGTAAAGATAATGCTTGAGATAAAAACAAATGTTTATTGGTCATTCTGACAAACCTTGATTAGTCTAGAGAAAAGTTGGGGATTTTTAACAAACCCAAACATCTCACATCAGGTCAAACTTTGTCACATAAATCATCTTTTTCAGTTGTTCAGATATCTGTCTTTAGAAAAGAGTGCGCACATGAACACTGACTTCAGCTAGACTTTCAATCCTCACTTCTGCAGTGACATAAATAGACCTTTACACTGCCTTTAACCATTGCTGTTTATGTAAATCTCACTTTTTCAGCATTTAAAGCATTTGTTGCACACACATGGTCTTTGCAAGACAAACAGGACAATGGTGGGATATTGTACATTTAAACACTTGCAATATACTTTCCTTGTGTTCAGAACAGTTGTTATTATCAACTAAAACTATTACAAATCTTTTCGGTAATCAAAATAAAATACAAATCTTAAATTAAAAAAACAAACAATTGACAATTAGAAATATTCCCTTGGCAACTAACTGTAATAAATAAGTTATACAAATTACTAAAACTTTAAATAAAATAAAATAAATAAAAGCAATCCAGAAATATAAAAAACTAATAAAAATGACAAAAGCACATAACAAAATAAACTAAAAATATAAAAAAAGCTAATTTGCAATATTAATAAATACAATAATGGTATATAAATAATACCATAATTACTAAAATAGGCTAACTCTTACACTTGTGCAGAATCAGGTACAGTCATATATCAATACATTGCCATTCTTTTTCAGTATTTAGTTTATATTTTAATTCATACAAATTCCTAAATAATGAGGAAGCAGGTCATCTAAATAAGTGTAAACAGAAAGTTTCCGAAACCTTATATACAGCACAATAAACTGGACAATATTAAAGCAAACTACGTAAGAGGGATTGAAACTGATCAAATAACAGAATAATACTGTGTTGCATTGCAGTGTACTGAATTGGGACATGTATGGGTATCATATTGTGAGATAGCAACCGATACCCAGTCCTAAAATACATATTATTTTTTATACAAAGACAATTCACAGAAATGGAATCTAGTTTATCGATGAAGAAAACACATATGATGACAATGCTATACACAGCAAACTGTTGACTGTTGTTGTTAACTCGCAACATAAATGATCAAAACAGCAAAACGTGGTGGCGAAAAAGAATGCAAGAAAGACAAAGAGAATGAATTGTTCAACTTTGTCCCAATTTAACATCAGAGACTTGGGGACGTCTTCATACTCCAGCCAATAATAGCAAGGACTGCCAAGTGGGTCACTTGAGCCATTGGAACAGACCCACACCACAAACATGCTTACAATATACTCAAGCCTAGTCAAACTGTCAAACACACACAAAAACTAACAAGCACACAAGCAATCTCACTTACAAAATACAAATGTGATTACAGATTGCAAGTTGAGGGCTTTCTTCTCTTTATTCAGCAACAAAGTCACTTCCTCTTATAGGTGACAGTCTGGTGCACATTCAACTATTTCCTCTTTCAAATAGATGCATACACATGCACGCAAACAAAAGCACACACAAGCAGCCTTATACTATCAACAAATGCCATCTGTATGCCAACGACCCTGACAGAAACAGCGATACCAATGTATGAACATCCAGCGTTATCTACAACAACCATTCTTTCAGCACACAAGCCGTCGGACAGAATCAAAACACAAGGCTCGATATAAACAAACGACCCTTCATACAGCTAAAATGGTTGTAAGACACAGTCAAATATACACAAAAGACCTATTCACTAGTGTAACTCAATACAGTTGAATGGGAGTGTAGACACTATGCTGTGTGTAAGGTGTGCATGAATGAATGGGTTAGTGTCACTCCTCCCACTGTCTGCTTCACATCTCAATGGCTGTTTGCTGCAGCAAAACTACCATTACAGACCACAGACACTTCCGAAAGACAAGCAGCCATTTAATTTCTAACCACATCTCCAGAAACAACTGAAATATAGCTAATCCACATTATGCTGCAGTGTTTATAATAGTGTAGCCCACTTGTACAAACTGTTTTGCCAGACCAAAGATTATTTAGATCAACAATAGCTTTTAATACTATTACAAATATCTAAATCGTAATACTAAATATTAGTAAAATGTGTGCTTGTATAATATAAAGGGCTGCTTGCGCATTGATTTCCACTGAAAGGATGAAGAAAGGCGCGTGATAGATTATAAAGACCAACGGCAGCATCTTTTGTCTGGCACTACAGCCGCTATCTGCACTTATGGTCCGTTTAAAAAATGCCTTTCACCATCGTTTAACACCCTATCCACTAAATAAACTGTTCCCATAATGATAAATACATTTGTCAAATATAAAGGGAGCATAGTGTTGTCGCGTGCTCGCAGTATAGATAGGTGCAATGTTGTTACGGGTTTGCATGTTAAAACCTGCTGAATTACTGGAGCAAAGGTTAATGAAGATCGTCTCCTCCAGCTGAAGTGCTCTCTTTAGTTTTATTCATACATGAAATATGGTTTGGCGAGAAAGTGAGATGTGAAACCAAAACAACCAGGGATGCTAGTGCCTTTTAGACAGTATTTATAATGCCAGCTATAACTGGGTTTGCCACACCACGCTGGATATGATAAACACGACAGATAAAGCGTGATACAAGTATTCTACAAGATACTAGCCAATACACAAACATCCACTGACACGCCGCGCAAATGCACCAAAAAGGCACCCACACTCTTCGGTTTATATGTTATTTTGTTGTCCTTTCAAATCAAGAATCGCGAGAAGCGGGTCTCGTACAAGCACCATGTGCACTGGCTATTGTAGCCAATACACAAACACCCACTGACACGCCGCGCAAATGCACCAAAAAGGCACCCACACTCTTCGATTTATATGTTATTTTGTTGTCCTTTCAAATCAAGAATCGCGAGAAGCGGGTCAGTGGAGCACGCAGGGAGATTAGCCCACATCTGACGGACCCACCTGCTTGTGTAGTATCGGTCAGATCGTAGTTGAGCCCCGGGTAGTCGCGCAGTTTTCTTCCGCTGATGTTGAGCATCCCGGAGCAGACGGCATCTTCCAGAGCGCGTTCCAGACTGCGGGCGGTGTGTAGCGGGTGCTGCTGCTGCTGCTGCTGCTGCTGCTGCATCACACCCGGGTTCCAGTGCGCGACGTTGGGATAATGCTGGCTCTGGAGAGCCACAGCAGGTCCCACAGCTCCCTGACTCGCCGCCATTTTCATGAAATTATTCTTACAATAATAATAGCCTGGTGTGCCGCGCATGCGCATGCGCAGACGGAGGTGGGGAGGGGATGGGCTACCACTGGAAAGGGGCGGGGGATTAGCTCAGCTCTGACGACAGGTATAGTGTTAAACCAAGAAAATTCATGTGTTTTGCTTTTGATTTTCTATAAGTGAACCAATATTATGTTATTTGTCATCGGGAATATTTATGTGATGCGCGAAGAATGGATAGTGGTTGAAGCACTTTCAAAAGCAGTTATAGTTTAGTCATACTTGAGGTGCTTTTTAAAAAAATCTTTGAGGTGACTGTTGAGTGAAGTGAGGTAGAAAGAAGGTTTACTGACTTTCCTTTTAGGGCGTTTCTTATCTTCTTTCGTGTGGTGCCCGGCGGGTGTTCAGCTGTGGTTGGTGTGGCACAGAAAAAGGCCATGTGCCCTGAGCTCGGAGGCGAACCCTGGCGGCTGAATGGAGAAAATAGGCTACTCGCCACTAATAATAATCCCCTTCAACAATACAAGGGTATGGAACGGTGGAATTAAACTGAAACTCTAAACAACCCAGTGATGGACGTTAAAATAGGTCTTAAAAAGTATACATACTAGGAAGTTGTAATTATAAATATTAGCTATTATATTATATTATAATATAATATAATTATTATATTATAATATAATATAATATATATTTTTTTACATACTGGTAAAAAAAATAATAATAATTAATAGCCTGAATGCACTGTAAGTCGCTTTGGATAAAAGCGTCTGCTAAATGCATAAATTATAATTATAATTATTATATTATACATACATTTGTATAGCTCTGTTTTAGCTAAAGTAGTAATTTCGACCACTCCAAAATGGCTCATAGGCTATTATTGGCACTGAGCAGGGTTCAAGTAAATGGGCGGGAAAAAAATATTTTATATGAATATGTGAAAAAAAAATCATGTCTGATAAAATATAGCCTAGGCCTACTGTATATTAAAAGCTTTTCTGAATAAATACAATTGGAAAATAATAGTGAAAAGAAAAGAGAATAACTATGCAGATCCTTTCATCATCATGGTATATAGAAAAAAGTAGCAATTCGTTACAATTAGCAGTAAATATCTAGAGCTAGTGTATAAACTATTTATAATTGTGTTTATAATAATTTGTGAGTATTGTACGAATATATAGAAAAGGTCTGTTAATGGACTTTGTAGTAAAACAGTTTTGAAATTAATAAAACGGAGGGAAAAAACTGTTGTTTTGTTTAAATGTAAACATCTGGAGGGGGGGGGGGGGAATTTGGATGAACTCTAAAAATATTTAAGAATAAAACATGTTTTGTCTGTAATTATGATAACCAAAATAACTGAGGGAAAAGTTTTAAAGAATTGAATTCCTGCCGCTAGTTGTGTTGTAAAGCACCTTGGAAAGACCTGCCTCTACTACCGGGATTAGACACAGTGCTATTTCGGGCTCTTGTCGCACACTGGTCCTCAGATTCATAGCGCTGCTGGGCGGGTCACGCTGCTAGGACTCACCGTTCACTTGATCGACACAAAGAAAGCGCCTTGAAACCGGGTTGATTGAAAAAGTTTCATAGTTCGTCTCGTCAGTGGCGTTTCTGTTTGGAAGTTATCGAGTAAATACTGTGGCGCTTTCTATTCACGCGACGCTTCTGAAACTTTTGCGTGCGTAACGACATTGGGAGACGAAATGGGGGAGAATGATGTTCAGATGGAGAGTACAGAGCAAATGCAGGAGCCTCACGCTTCAAGCTCGGACAAAATCGACTTGTCATTAGGTTAGTAATTGCGAGGCGAGGCATTCACTTAAAGTCATTGTGATTTGAATGAGTTGGCAGGATCCGTGGGTTTCGCTTCTGTGTTGACTTGTCGAGCAACAGCGGTCAGCTGTCAAACCAACGTGCTCGTGCACACACATCATTTACCTTGAGTTTAGCATGATAATAAATGACCGAAATGATCTGTGATTGTGAATGACTAAAATTAAGCAAGTTATAGTATGTCAAATAAAACCTTCATCCATCTTTACTGTAGCCACAGTATGGCTAGGAGTCAGTCAGCTATATTAATACAGACCTTCATTATTTGGTCAGCTTTTAAGTTTTTTTTTGTCGATTTATCATGCATATCTGGCGTATTTTGAGAGGGATTTTAAATAGGAAACCCTCCACTCAACAAATAAATATAAAATAAAAGCGAAGGAGCCTTAATATGCTGGATGCTGTAAATGACTACCTATTTTTCCCCTATTTAGCTCAAACAAGTAATATACACAAATATTATCTGATATGTCATTCATATCATTAATCTTCTATTTTAGAGGCCCTTTTAAAGTAAACCAGAGGTGAAACACTTTGTTCATTTTTATTTCACAGATGACATTATAAAGCTGAATAAGAAGGAACTGAAGGCGAGCCGAGCTGGCAACATAGCTAAAACTAAACGTGCTGCTAACAGGAACAACGTCTTGAAGAAACTCAACCAGGTTCCACAGCAGCACAGGGGACTCAGACGAGGAGCGCAGCAGTACCAAGGCAAGCATTTGATACCTAAAGGGGTCATATGATGCGATTTGTAGTGTTACAAGCTCTTGGTGCATAAAGAAGATCTGTAAAGTTGCAAAGACTAAAGTCTCAAATCCAAAGAGATATTCTTTATAAAAGTTAAGATTCAGCCACGCCTACCTAAAACGGCTCTCACATATCTACATCACTATGTGGGAAGATTTGCATAATGCTGCCCAAATGTTCACGCAAAGAAAGAAGGCGTAACTTTTATTCTCGCTGTAGTATTGTTGTTGCGGCCGCCATGTCGTGAAGGAGCTGTATGATTCGTTGTGAAAGCGAAACTACTTTGTTTGGTCTTCCAAAAGAAGACGATATCTGCTTCGTCATGCCTGGAGCTGATCCGTGCTGGTTGCTGAGGAAATACTTCAACTTTGCGCTGTGGCTCGCCCGATCGGCTTTCACCGTGGACGAAGTGGAGTCCAGCCCAGGGTCGTCACATGTG